ACCAGTGCTAGAATTCTATCGAACATATAGTTATTTACCTTTTATTATCTGAGTAGGTATATGCACTAAATAATGTACACTATACTCTTAAACTATTTTGTGTGTGGTTGACGAAGAACTATAGGAAATCTAGGCAGTGATATATAATATTAGTTTAAAAATATAATGTTTAGATTGTAGAAAGTTTGTAGTTTGTACTTTGTACCAAAAAAAAATCGTAAACTAATCAGTGTCCATAATTTAGAGGTATTTGTAGGAGAGATTTCACTGTATATTTATTTGCATTATTTCATAAGATGTTTACTCAAATTTATTTTCTTAAAGTCTGACGATTTTAATATAATATCTAATATTCAGATGTATAAATTCAAACACGGCTAATCATTATAATTTATAAATAATTATAAATATAATATAGAATTTAATTTCACATATTATGTACACAACTATATTACAGCAATTGGCAACGATATCTTAAATTAATAAAAAAAAACATCAGGTAGGTGGACCGATTGGTACCCAGAAAAGTATTTAGAAATTGTACGACTTCATTCATAATTGTTTTTACACTGAAAATAAACCAATACCTACTATATTTAGAAAAACAAAGTAATAGCATCGAATATAATATTATTAAATTTGTATTATAATCAAGAAAGTATAACCTACCTAATATAATTTATATTTAATTATAAAACAACAATAATATATTTTTGAATCACAGTCCCTTACGTTGTGCTATTAGCAAAATACATTAATTAATAAATAATTAAAATCTATGTTGTGTAATGCTAATTAAACATAATTCAATTTATTGATAAAATCTGACTCAACCGTTAAAATGTCCAATGAGCTTAAACTGTCTTCAGTAATTTTGGATCTTACATAATATTATGTTTTAATTCCTTTAAGAACTGAATAAAAACTCTCAAAGACATTATCTGTAGTTGTAAACAAACTAGAGATATTCAGAGTAGGTACCCGGCAATTACTCGATGGCCGGGTATTCGATATAGGTACTTACCTAATCATTTTTAAGACCTAAATTTTTACCCGGTCCTTACTCGGTACCCGACGAAATACTAAATTTTTACTCGACTCATATCCAATGGCAAACGCTGATAATCTATTTATAAATATATGCATACCCATAATTAATATAACGGGAGAAATCTAAAATTCTAGGGTAATAAATTATAATTTATTTTGGTACATGTTGGAATAACTGAACCGATTTACAATAGCCAGTTGATTATGTTTTACTTCTAAGAATTACAAAAAATAAATCTCTTGTTTACTGTCTAATGTTTATATAGTTGATACTTGATACTTTGATAGTAGTATAATACCCATTTGGTATTTACATTTCTATTCGGCCTATACTCGATACCCGGTTAGTGTTAAAATGTTGACTCGGTCAATACTCGATACCCGGGTTAGTATAAAAAATTTTACCCGGCCAGTACTCGGTACCCTGTTTAATACCAGATTTTCTACCCAGTAAAACACTGTACAGAGTGTCAGAGTACTTTATACATTTTTATCTATTTTAATATTAAAGTGAGATATATGATCATAGTAGATTTTGAGTTGATTGATGAATGTATTAAAATATATATTATTAGGTATATTAATATTTTATTAGTATTTTACAATGATGTGTGTTTGCCTTTTGGTTGGTAGATATACAGTATACTATACTTGATATAAATTAGAAAATTCGTATTTTGTAAATGTCAAAACTGAAAATTCCTAGTATTTTCAAAAATAATCGGGAAAACAAAATAAATTTAAGGCAAAACTCAAACTTTGTCACCAGAAATCGATTTTGTTTTATTGATGTAACACAAAAACTAATAATTGAATAACCGTAGATACTTGACATTTTCAACAAATGTTTATATTAGCATTTTCTGTATATTATGATAAAAATATAAGATATTCAAAATGTTCAGAGCTAAATAATATTATAGACGATTAACATATTAAGTTTTTTTAATAAATGCCGATCAAAAAATTTGTATTAATTGGTCAAAACCCTTGTCAATGTAATATAAGTTTCCTATTATAAGTTGGTCATAAACTAATTAAAAATTATCGAAAATACATAGACAAAATTGTAATATATATTGTAATTACAGATTGTAAATAAAATTTTGTTCAATAAAAATAAAAAATTATTTAAAGCTTGAATTTTTACGAAATTCGACACAATTGCAAAACTATTTTATTGTTAAAATTGTCTAAAATGTTCATACCAATGCAATAATTTACGGTTCTTTAAATGCGGTTCATATACCAATTAAAATATATCAAAAATATATATTCATAATTTTTTTATAAGCATTTTAAATTAAAATGTTGAAAAAATTTAATTGTAACATTATAATAGGCTGACAGATCGTCATAGCTCAGAACAGTTTCAACTGTTTATTTATCATTTTTGATTATTGATGATTGAAATCATATTATTTGACAACTAGGTGCCTATTTGTGTATACTTGACCTTGACCTATACGACTTTTATTATCTATAATAATATAATAAAAAATAATTTTTTTATATATTCTGTAATTGTATTATATTGTCCTAAATATTATCAAGTATCTTCCAAATTACCAAAACCTTTTTGTTTAAAATAGTAGTTAATATTTATAAGAAAACCAAATTTCTGATGCTACTAAACTCAGTTTTTTAAAAGATATGAATTTCCATTACAAGATAATCATATAATATTATATTATAATATTGAACAATAATTATTAGTATAACTGTTGACATTTATATATCATTGTAAAAGTTAAAAACCGTTAAAATATACTTAATATTTTGACAATATAATAGGTATATTGACTAGGGTATATTATTTAATTAATTTTAAACTGGATTGTTAAAAAAAACATAATTTTTTAGTTTTTACAAAATAGTAGTATTGTTTGGCCTGCTGAAATAAATTATCTTCTATACTGTGCGGCGGCGGTGCTGTAATATATTATTATATTATATTGTGTGCAGCGCGTGCGTTGATAGTCCGTATACAACAGCTGCACTCAATCTAATTTAATAAATTATTTATTATTATTATCAATTAAGACTGCGGGCAGTGGAGGTGATGAGATTACAGTCTTTATACGCCCTTTTCTGTGTCTCGGTACCTACCAGGGTCTCATGATGTGGACGGTTAACGCGGTTCGTGAACGACCACATAGCATACCATCATTGCACATCCGGCGACTCATCGCGCGTCTCCTCAGTTAAAAATATTATTATAAGTAAAAAAATTAATCTGATAAATAATAAGCTCCTTTAGCAAATATTGAACTTATTAATGTCGACACATAACTGCAAATTTAACATTGTGTACATTCAGTATAAAATTATTAAATCTATTTCTCTCTATCAATAGCAAACGAGTAAAATGTACATTTCATAAACACAAGTATTTGTGGTAAAATATTACAAGGTCATAATAATATAATTAATATATTCTCTCTCCATATTCCCTAAGGAAACGACAATATTATTATCAACTGTGTTTGTTTATATCTCCTATCAGTAGAACATCTTTAACAGCACAAAAACAACATTTTATGTATTTATTTCACTTAATAATATATTGGGTTCGATTTAAAATTTGTATAAAAAAAAATATGGGTTCAATTACATGAACTTATACAACTGGTATACTAAGCGTGTACTATATTATAATACCTTAATTACCATAAAAGTAATTTTTGAAAAAAGTTTTTTTAAAAATACTATTTAATCATTTTAAACGAAGGGTATAATCGTACGATTTTCTTGAATAAGATGACAAAGCGGCGGGTACTAATAAGGTACAATTATTTAAGTTATATTGTTATAGAAATAGATATAAATAAAATGATAAGTAAGGCCCAGATATAATGTTTTAAAAATTATCAAAAAATTTCCTTAAAAAAGAAACAAAAATTCCCCAAAAATTCCTCTTCAAAGCTATAACGCGCTTAAAAAATGACCAACTTTTTTTTATAGGTTTGCGACTATGCAACCGATGAGAAAATGACAGTTTAACTTTCACTTTTCAGTATTTTTAACGGTTCTTTATCTTAACTTAACTAACAACTATATAATTTAAAAAACCTATAGGTTTAGCCACAATCAATAAATAAACAGTAAATTACATGAATCATAGAGTAAATAAATGCTTTCGTGATATATCTCCAATTGATCAATTAGTTTTAATTTGTTTGTGTTAAGCCGCGTCCACACTAGAGCACGCACAGACCGAGCATGTGTGCTCACGACGCACAACGAACGCGAGCCGACTAGATCGGCTCGCGTTCGCCGTGCGTCAAAATCGCTCTTGCGTGCTCTAGTACACATGCTCGGTCTGTGCGTGCTCTAGTGTGGACGCGGCTTAAGACGCCATGGTACACGAAGCATCCGATAATCGCTGAAGATAAATAAAGACGTTATCGCTTTCATATATAAAACGATTGACATTTGGTATAGAAGAAAAATACTTTTTAAAAATATTACAATATTTTTCGATATAATTTTTAAAATGTATAACAATTAAAATATTCAATTTTAATATAAACAAATTTAATTAGCAAAAAATCTTCAATAATTCTTGAGAAATAATAATTATTTATAAAATCAAATATTTTCATAAGTTTATTTTACATATTTTGTATATTAAACAATATTGTAAATGTTTATTATCTACAGAGACGTATTCAGAAATTTGGCGCCCGGGTGCCAATGTTTTTCCGCCCCCCCCCCCTCCACAAAAAAAATTATTTGACTTTTTCAAACTACCGAGAGCGTTGGAGCTTACTTTCCGGTGACAACCCGTTATCGTATCCTTTTTAGAACAAAAGTTAGTAAAAAAAAAAAAGTAGATTTCAAACTTTAAACATTATGTTATTTTTATAAACTAATCACATTTAAATATTTAATATAAAATAGGTTTAGTTATTATCAACTATAATTACAAAACAATAAATATTTAAAATTTACATATTCTTTTTTCGAGCTTTCAAGGAACTAAACTCATTGATTATATCATCATAGTCTAAACCTTTTGTAATATCTGATTCGATGTTTAATATGGCGATACTGTTTAGTCGTTCATCAGTCATCCTCAATCGAAAATAACTTTTAATTCGTTTTAGTGCACTAAACGATCGCTCTGAAGAGCAGTTAGACACAGGACAACATTGATACATTCTTAGAGCAATAGCCAATATTTACGTACGGGTATATGTCGTATAAAAATTCAAAATTCATTGTTTTAATGTTTTCTATACTTTGATAAGTCACTAATAAGCGATAACTGTATAAACAGTGTTGAAATATTATTGATAAAAATTATTATTTTTTAATTATTATATTATTGATAAAAAAAAAACTAATTTATATTATTTTTCATTTTCATTTTCATTAACAGAAGATGGGTTATGTAAAAATCTGATGCCGCCCCTATAAAAATGCCGCCCGGGGCGATCGCCCCCTCTAGCCCCCCCCTAAATACGTCACTGATTATCTACCTATGTATAATATAGGTAACCAGCTAATATAGTTTAATTTAAATCTAGTATTAAAACTCTTTAATTTAAATGACATGCAATATAATAGCTTCAAAAGTTCAAACGTATATCCATATACTTTTTAAGTTCGTTGTATTTCCAAATACCTATATAATACAGTGAAACTTCTAAATACCGGACACAGTCGGTTACCGAAATTTTGTCCACTATTCGAAGGTGTTCGCTATACAGAGGGTTCAGTAAGCTCAGTTTGTAGACATTTTGTAGAGTGTTCACAAAAAGCGTCCGCTATTTGGAGGTGGCCTCTATTTAGAGGAGTCCGTTAAGGGAGGTTTCACTGTAATTGTTTTTTGCAAATTTGACCAACAACATTTTATCTGAATTTTTCCAAAAATTATCCCATACTACAGAACGCTGCCTGTTATCAGGTTGTATTAAAAAAAAAAATAAGTAGAAACTGGTGATCTTTATCAGTGGTTCTCAACCACCGGTCCGCGATTAAAATGGTACCGGTTAGTATTGTATTGGAAAAAATTATACTTTTAATGTTTTGTTAGAAGGTTAAACCTTGGACAAAAGTAAAATATATTTATCAGTATTTACCTAACATTAATCCTATTATCGCAATAATATTTGTTGACAGTATGATTAGTATTTGATTACTTTTTGATTGCAACGTTGAGTGGGTTTTTGTTATTTGTTAAATAATTCTGTATGAACATGCGAAAACCTGAAAAGAACTTTATAGGTACTAAGACAAAATAATATTAAATTTTAAATTAAAAAAAAATTCTATTTATCCAATTAATTGTATTAGATACCTACTTACCTATAGGTACTAAGAAAATAATGCAATAAAAATGTTAAAATATTGGATGTTAAATAATGTTATTTAAGGCCGGGGATCCAGGGGTACTGACCCCCCCCCCCCCAAACACAGGCTACAATGTAAATATTTATTTTATATTATATACAGTAGGTATATATAAGTATATAGGGTTATTTGTATTCCTATTGGCTATTTCAAATATATTGAAATATGTTGAATTATAATTTTTACCTTTTCAACAATAATATATTTATAGTTTTGATAAAATCTTACACAATACCTACCGGCTATTCCCGATAAACTTTTATATTGCGATTTGCGATGGTAAATTTATTTTTCCACCATTTACTACATATTATTTACTAAAGCGGACGATTAAAATACATTTTCCGACGATTTTCTTTATTTCATACTATTTAAATGTATAGATAATAGATAATAGATATTTTTTTGACCACCGACAATATTGTTGACGTTCGCACTATGATAGTCAAATATGAAATATCAAAAGTAAGTACTAACTACTAAGTAATTTGTTTTTCAATAAAATGTCGTCTATAAAAACAACCATTCATTCAACAATTTTTTCTTGAAACGTAAATTACTGTCCAAACTATAATACGTAATTATTTATTGAAAGTTTATCAAATAAGAGACAAGTTTAACCTAATGATATAAGTACCAGGGGGCCTATTCTTGAAATCATACGGATTGGATCCGTATACGGAAATAGTGGTTTCCACACGACTTTCCACATGATCCAAAAAATAGGTATTCTTGAAATATTTACGTATACGAATGTGTTCGGTCGTGTGAAAAAGATCCGTACGATTCATTCGAGTGGGGTATGGCATACGGAAACATATTTCCGTATACGAATAAACTAAGTACCACAATGTTTTATCATGATCGTTTATTAAATTCAATTGTGAGTTTATACTTATATAAAATTATTATAATATTATAATTATAATATGTTATTGAGTTACCTATATAACATACGTAATTAGATAAATAACACCCGTCACCCGTTAGTAATAAACTATAGATAGGAATGTAAATAATGTAATTCCCTAAAAACTGCTTTTATACCTTAAAAATTAAAATCAATGTGCTTAAAAATGCAGTTTTTTTTTAGTTTTGAACAAAAAACACTTTTAAATCTTAAAAATAAATTAAAAAAACTGAATTTTAGTGTTGAATGACTTAAAAATGGTTAAACGGTCCAAATGTTATTCCCTTAAATTGAAAATTGTCAAAAAATTACGCAGAGTAAACATTTCTTATGAATATTTAAAAATCCATAAAACGGATATATTTTCATAGAACGAGCATCACCTATTAATTTATTTATTTTTTATATATAAAATGAATAAGCTTACTATTGTTTAAGCATTAACTTTGTATCATTGATTATAAATACCTATTAATAAATAATAATAATATTCTATATAATGTAGGTATCATATAGTAATTAATCAATATTAATTAGGTATATAATATATAGTTATTGTATACCTATTAATTTTAATTGACCTTCGATTCTAGGTTAGTTACCCTGGCCCCGCCACTTCCGATTTATAAATGGAAATTAATGTCAAATTATGTAATATCATTTGTAATTATTTGTAACCACAAAAAAAAAATTTGTAACCCACCCACTTCGGCTCAAAACGAAGTTTCCATGTGGCGGGGCCACGGTGACGTCACTACAGCCCGCCACTACAGAAGTTCGACTTGTAGGTACTTGAAAACTAGTGGAGATTATGTAATATCATTTGTAATCATTTGTAACCACAAAAAAAAAATTTGTAACCCACCCACTTCGGCTCAAAACGAAGTTTCCATGTGGCGGGGCCACGGTGACGTCACTACAGCCCGCCATTACAGAAGTTCGACTTGTAGGTACTTGAAACCTAGTGGAGATTATGTAATATCATTTGTAATCATTTGTAACCACAAAAAAAAATTTGTAACCCACCCACTTCGGCTCAAAACGAAGTTTCCATGTGGCGGGGCCACGGAGACGTCACTACAGCCCGCCATTACAGAAGTTCGACTTGTAGGTACTTGAAACCTAGTGGAGATTATGTAATATAATTTGTAATCATTTGTAACCACAAAAAAAAAATTTGTAACCCACCCACTTCGGCTCAAAACGAAGTTTCCATGTGGCGGGGCCACGGTGACGTCACTACAGCCCGCCATTACAGAAGTTCGACTTTTAGGTACTTGAAACCTAATGGAGATTATGTAATATCATTTGTAATCATTTGTAACCACCAAAAAAAAATTTGTTCATCGATCCTTTTGACTAAATGGTGCATGTCAATTATTTTCAATTTTAGTACTCATCCATGTTCAATTGTTTACCCTGTTAATAAATTTTTTTGAAACTTTTTATTCTTTAAAACAAATGTATTATTTATTTATACCTTTATATTATATATAATATGTTTTTTACATTTTTTCACATTTAATGAAATAGCCTTACTCAGAAATGGTTCTTGTTTTCAAAACAAACCTATATACGTACCAGGATATGACAAAGTATTGATGAACAATACTTGTTCAGGAGATTCTTTGTTGTCAATATTAGTGGTGTCTGTTGCAGAAAGCAATAATTATAAAAAGTATTTAACAGAAGGAAAAAATAATAAGAATGTAGCTGATTTTGTAAAAAAAATGATCGGAAACAGACCGTCTAAAGAAATGTACAGAGATCGCGTATATTTACTTACACTACATTTTATAACGGAGAGCAAAAATCTAATTGGAGGTATAATGCTAATCAATACAGTAGACACGGCTGCATCGATGTGCGATGATTATTGGAAGATATGCCATCGTATATTAGATTAGATACTTGTCAAAATATGCTATGTTTTGAAAAAGAAAAAAGTTCGGCAGGATAGGTTGTCATTACATTTCTTGGCGTCGATGGGACTATTAATTTGCAAAAAGAAATAGACGATTTTTTTCAACCAATTACAAAATGCTGTGTATCAATAAATTGTAATTGCTCAAGAGAAGTACCACAGCGTTCCCTCCGTTCTTATACAACATTCTCCATCCCAAATTGCTCTACAAACTACGGCCGTAATAATCCTATCTATCGTATGATGCGCATAGCAAATGAACACCCATCATTCCCTACCTAAACTAATCTTATTGTTGTAATTGTTATTTACTGTTCTATTAAAAATGTAATTATTAATATTTAAATATTTAAATGTAATTTTATACTTAGTGTACACTTGTAATGTAATTGGGCTCTGCCCGTAATGTTTGAAATAAATAAAAAATAAAAAAGAGAAGTGGTTACAAAACCAACCAATCATATAGTAGTGGAACTATTGTCAATACCAAAAGGTAAATAAAAACATCTTAATTATTTTAAAAGCATACGGGGAAGTGGCAAAATATCCTAATACCGTTATTTGTATTTTTTAGTCATTGCTTATTTAAAAAATAATAATAATAATAATAATAATAATAATAATAATAATATTAGGTACGTACTATAATAGTGATATTAGCTATAATTAGAGCCATTTGATATTTAAAATTAAAAAATAAAATTTGATTTAACTATTCTGTGCAAAATTGTTATTCTCTAAAAAAAACAAAATATTAGACATAATAAAACTGGTAAGTAATACTAAAAGGCAAAACCCCAAAGCTAACACCATAAGCACGAAAAATATTCAAAGAATTATTAAAAAAAAAAAAATTTAGTAACTAAATAGAATATTTAAATAATGTATTACATTGTAGTTATTTATATGATCATTTTTCATTATTAATAGGTTTTAGAGCTTCCGGTAAATATAGTCATCTTGAAAATACA